GCGCATCTGGCAATTGACATGTGGGCGCCTGTTGGTATAATTCGCGAGTGTCAATAATGGGTTGATATCAGCTGTGGGTGCCCGTTTCCAGCAATTTATAATTCATTTTTATTTTCAAATAACCACTAATAATATATAATATATAATCATAAATTATAATGAAACTTTCAAAATATTTTAAACAAAAAAAATCAAAACATATTTTTACTTTGAAATTATACACTTTGTATAATAATAACACTGTATATATAAATATAAAATAAGAACAAAACTTTGAAAATATTTCAAAAATAAAACAAATTATATCCTTTACTTAGTATAATAATAAAATTTAATACTCAAAATAAAAATGAAACTTATAATGTAGATTGTAGACTATGCATGATAAATTTTAAAACAGTTTTCAATGCATAAACCAGGTTTACCTTCACAACTGGAACAGTAAAATAATGTTATTTTTCGTATGCTGTTTGAATGGCAAATCTTACATCTTTTTCTCAAATTTTTTTTTTTCATTTTTTGAAACTTGTAGAATAGTGCAAGTTTTTTTATTTTTGGAGGAAGTGTAGGAACATTTATGTTTATTTGATTATTTACTAAAGCTGTAATTACAGAAGTCTAAAATCATACAATTTTTTTACGTTTTCTATGTATATGTAGTAGGAATTTAGCAAAAATAATTGAAAAAAGTGAATTCTAATTTTTTTGTACCACCTTATTGTTTTCCTTTTGCATGGATAATATGATAACAACATCTGATAATCATAAAGATAAAATCTGGTCTTGTCTGTCAATTCCTGACATATATTTATTGTACATAGAAATTGCCATAAGTTTCATTTTTGATCACCTCTTCTATTAGTAAATTCAACTAAATCATTTGTATACTTAGAGCTTATTGCTAAAACTTCCTGTCTGTCTTGCCATTTCATTACACATACGCCTTCCTTAGTATAATTTCCAACACTTTCTCCTAGTTTTAATTTTCTTGAAGTTATTTTTTTAGGGTTTCCTTTTCTATTTGCACGCAAAGTTCCTGTACAATATGTTCCTTTAGTGAAAAGTGTGTGAAGTACTAGAACTAAAGCCGAATTCGTCATCTGAATTTTCTAACATACTCAATAATTCTTTGTCAGTCATTGGGTTGCCCATTTTTCTTTAAAAAAAATATTTATGTTATAAATGATATATTTTATGTACTTTTAGGAACTATAAGACGTAATAAGTATTTATCGATTATTTAAAATTATAATTTTTTTTAAGAAAATAATAAATAAACTCCAAAAATCGCGAAAAATTATAAATTTCTATAATATATTATTATTATATGCATCTACTGTATGGGGAATATCATTGTATTAATAGATATATTATAAAATAACTATTCAAATGTGAAATTAATGTATTAATTTATGTTAATTAAAAATATAACTTACCTTTTGTTTCTTTCTATTTCATATAACAGTAAAAATTGTAAATAAAATATAAAAATCATGAAAATTCAAAACCAATTATTCTATGTAATAAATAATACGTTACTGAATGGCCGACAAAAGTTTCAAATGTGTACTACTATACTACTACACTACTATACTACTACTACTGTACTACTACACCAGGTCACAGACAGGGTACCACATATCAACTACAGGTTGACACTGGCGTTAATATATGCAAGCGATTACTTTGTCATGAAACTATCACTATCACTATCTAGCATTATTTTCTAAGGTTTACTCTTATTTTGTATAAGAATTATCCTGTAGGAATTTATTCAAAATATTATAAAAAGTATATTAATTATGATTTATTTTATTTTTATTTCAGTTGCTGATTTAATTTGAATTCAATTTTCAAAAACTTTTTGTGTTGATCACATTTTTAGTGTAGAAAGACATTTTATTGTTTTTTTTTTCTTTGTACAACACTACTGTTGAATGCAAATATTATTTTTGGATATCTACATTTGATGTCACAAAAATCGCACATCTCTAAAATATCTTGAATGCTGTAGAGCTTCAACAGCAACTCCACGCAGCTCGCAATACAAGAGTAAGCATCTCTACGAGTAAGAGAACAGATAATTGTGGCTCGCAGATCCGTTGCTGGCCCAAAACTGATTGCACAGCATTCCAAAGAACTCTCGACTTGTGGAAGACTATTGAGCTTTTGAAGAAACAATATATATTGTAATAGAAAAAAAAAAATGTTATTCTTTTTCTTCTCGAGCTTTTATGTTCCTTGAAGGACTTTTGCTGCTTCAACTACATTCCTCCATCTATATTTATCCATGTTGAAAAAATAGTTATTATGAGATGTAATTATTTTTTCACAATAAATTTTAAATATAAAATTGTATTCTTGAGCTAAAATTATATTATTTTTATCATTAATTATGAAAAAACTCTCACAATTTTGTCAACATTTTGCGATTTTATTGAAGCATTGAAAAATTCTATATTACGAATTGAATCTAAATAAATATAGTTTTTGAGTATTTTACTTTATAATATTTTATAAATAATAAATATCAAAATTTTAACTTGTATGCTTGTAATTTTAGATTTTAGATTTAATAATGTCAAATATTTAAATAAAATTACATTTTTTTTTTTTTTTGTTTTGTTTATAATTAATTAATACTGTATAATCAGTAAAAAACTTATTTACAATAAAGACAAGTGATGTTATGGGTTTACATAAAATAAATTGTATTGCGGTAATTTTAAATAAGGAGAGCTTAGGCAAAGATACCATTCATTGATGGGTCTTGTAAAAAGGATTCCTTTAAGAGCCTTTTGAGGTCATGGTGCATAGTAGGAGCTGACAGTTCTGAAATAAAAGGGTTGTAAAGATTGGAGAGTTTAAGCTTTAATAGAATAATTTAGCAACATTGTAGTACTGTTAAAATAAAGAATTATTATTTCAAACATAGTAGGGGGACTTTGGTTATTTAAGGAAGGAATTTGGATTGGAATGTTTGGATTTTATTAATGTTGAATTTAGCAACTCCCCATATTTGAACACCATAAGTGCAAATTGGTTTGAAGAGCAATTTTTAAAGGATAAATTTATTTTTGAGGTTAACATGTTTAGATGTAAGAATGGAGACATAGTTGTTTAAGGTAAGGTGTTTAGTATGAAAATGTTGGGTACATTGTAATGGTAAGTGCTATGATTTGAGATAAATATGAGGACAACCGATTTGTAACTATTTTTACATTTCCTAAAAGTGATTTATTCAAACCAATGATTAACAAGATAGTTCTGGGACAGATTTGGTGAAAAGAAAAACTACTAATTAGGTAGGTATTTATTAAGTCTATCAATTTAATTATTTAATTGTTTTTTTTTTATGGTTGCTATTTTTTATTCCATTACTTTTATCCAATTTAATCTTTGAAATGTGTAAAAATATTAAATATTTTATTCTATATTTATTTTAAAATGTAATTAATACAAAGAACTGTGTGTTAAAATTTTAAAACCAATGTTATTGAATAACTTAATTTATGTATATAATTTATTTGTTAAAAAAAAACTAGTCTTCAACTATGTATCAGTTTCATAAAAAATATTGCATAATGACTACAACACAAATTGTTAAAATAAATCTATTGGTCTATAGTTTAGTGTACTAAAATATATTAGGCTGGTGTTCAATTTTTTGTAAGATATCTACTATTTACCATTATAGGAGATTTGAAATACACATCTTGTTAATATTAATTAGTTAAGTAATTATATTATATTCAGTGCACAATGGGAAATATAGTAATTTTTTATTTTTAAATTTGAATATTACATCATGTGTTGTACTTACATTTAACATTAGTGTAAAATATCAGGTGAATTTTAATTTTGGCAAAACACAGAAGTATTTGCATTTTTTTAAATTTGAATAGTTATGGTTTGAAAACTATAACTGGAAAATACCAAATGATAATTATTTTTAAAATTAATAGAACTTATATAATTGCTATCCCTGATTTTGTAATTTAAAAAAAAAACCAATAAATTAATCGAGTGGAATATTTAGATTTACAAAAATTTTAATAAAAATTGATTTGAAAAAACGGCAAAAGTTTTTTTGGAGGTCGGGAAATTAGAGCTTGGAGCAGCCGTGATAAGGGTCGGTCTTTGGGCGAAATTCTGAAGAATCGTACACTGAGACACGACGGGACTAAGTAACAAGGTATATGAAATATATCAATAGGAGTAGAGTGGATGGTAAATATGACGAGGGCAGCCGGGGAAGTATGTACATACATCTTTAATATAATGTACTACATCACCGTCGCAGGCTGACTTTCCTGTACAATTACACATTACGACACTGAAGAACTATTGCCACATGATACAATACCAAGTTTTGAAAGTTAAAATCGAAAACGCAGAAATTTCCCACCGAGATCGTAATAACCTCATCAGGTATACAAGACGACCAGGGGGTGTTGCTTACCATACAACGAATTAGACGGCTGAGCCATGCGAGACCTCACGGATGGTATACGACCGTCGAACAGTATATATACTTGATATCGTAATGCAGTAAACACAAGCGAGAAGAATAAAATTAACGTTCTGTGTGTAACGCACAGAGTCGCGACCGCTAGATCGAACTGCGGAACAAGTGGTCAACTTTTATGTTAGCCAACTATTTTTGTGTTTATTATTACCAAATTTTACCCACTAAAATATATTAGTCTTTTTATATTATTGTAATTTTACCCAAATGATTTTTATAGAAAATAAAGGCCTAGTTTACACTGGGCATACTGAACTTTGATATGTATCAAATTTAGTAAGGTACGCTTTGATAGAGCGTATCAGATTATGTCGATACGCAAGTCCACGGTGTAAACTAGGTCATAATAATTCTTAATTATCTATGTTAAATTTTTGAGGTTTTTGTTAAATTTGTTACCATTAGTAAGATAACATCCTTTAACCCAGTGGTCTTGAACCTTTTTGGACTCACGACTCACTTTTTTAGGTGTAAATTTTTTGTGACCCACATAAGGCATACATAAAGAAAAACAGAAAAAAAAACCAAAAATGATTTAATACTTTGTAGTAGTACTGTTATAACTGAATAAATAAAAATAAAAAAACTTTTTAACGTATACGTAAATGTGACTAGAATAATAACGCGACTAACATTTATTCGTCTTAAAACACAGCGACAACATCGACAATGTTCGTAGATTATGGGACCCTTTAACGATAATAATATAATATATTTATTTTATTATTAGCCCGGTTTACTTGGAAATTATTATATTTAATGTCATACTACGTAGAATCATACCAGTATGTGAAACATATACTGTGATTTGAAAATGGGTCGCGACCTCTCGGTTGAAGACCACTGCTTTAACCCACGGACTAAAATACACAGGACTGAACACGAGATGAATATTATGATTACGAAGTGTTATAGAACAGATGGAGTGCAAGGGTATTTCCCTTCTAGCAATACTAGCGTCGTCTTAGTGGATACTTATGGAACTTATATGGAAGTTTATTTTACACTAACAGAATACAGTAATATCTATTGTGGTATTCTTGCTCTTGTGAGCAATATTATAAAAATAAAAATATATCTGTATAAATATTTATAAATCCTCTTAAATAAATTTGTAGGGAGGGGAATTCATTAACTAGATAACTAACTTAAGTTGGTTAATTATCAATTAACCATGATGATGCAGTGCTAACTGGTACAGTAAAAATCATTCTGCATAGTTTATTGTCTATTAGTAAAATATTATGGTTGAAATTTTTGGATACTATAAATATTTTAATTAATCTTTAAAAGTTTTTATTGATGCAGTGGTAGTGTAAAATATCTAATTCAGCTAGAAGTCCATCATAATCATTATTATTAGATTCTTTACCTAAATGTTCATTAAAGGTTCTATGATTGACATACAATTGTTTAAATATTCTGAAAACAAATTTAACAATGTATCAAACACTTGTTTGAATTCCACTCTGTAAAAGGCTTTTAAATTTACTGTAGGATTCACGTCTATCTTTTTGGGCTTTAATCTACTTTGATTTTGTTTGTTAAAATCTTCTGAGTTAATATTTATTTTTATAGTAAAACTTATTACACTTTCTATTAAATTATGACATAATATTATTATCCCTCATTTTGATTAATCTATCAATAATATGTATTAGTAATATTAAAGTATCAATTATATTTAATGCTGTAGCTTCTATGTTTTCTGTCAAGATTTTTGTTTTGTACATAACAGTTACATAAAAGGTAAAAAAATTAAAAAGTCAAAACTGAGAATTTTTTTAGATAGGTCCAATGCAAGTATGCAATGCAATTACATGTTTTTTTATCCATAGATTTTAAGTCTGGCATATCATGTAGCATATCAAAAATTTGTTTGTATGATATCCAAACAGATTTAACCAATTCAGCCCTAGTAGTACATTTTGTTTTTGAGATATTCAAAATTTCTAAAGCATTTTCAACTTCAAGTAATTTTGTTACTTGTATTCAATTGATGTTCTTGACGTGAAATAAATGGAATTTATTGACTGATAATATCAGACCATTTTTTTTCAGTAGGTACATAGGTAAATAGATTAATTATTAATGTATTTTATTGAAACTTTCTGTGGTTTGCAGTTGTACCTTTCTTAGATCACCAGCAGCTAGTAATCTATAGACATTGGTATCAAGTATCAACTATCAAATCAAATATTATTTTGTCAATATTATACCTACATAAATATTTTTAATTACCTATATATAACTATTTTAAATTATTTACTATTTTTAGGTGTATTACAAATAATAAATGATATATTAATGTTCATATAAATATATAATCATAAATCATAAAAAAAATCATAATTGCTGACTTGCTGACTACTATATCAAAATGAAAAATGTGTCAAATAAAATGAACCAGGTGTGAGGGATTCTCCTTCAGCTTACAGTGAATAACATATTTCAAAAGTTAAGATCACTAATATACAATTATTTTCAAGTGCTAAGCACTTATTGGTATTCAAATAAATTTGTTTAATAAAGAATAATTATTCTAAAATGTATTAACTTCTATGTTTTCTTGATTAGCTTTTGAACTTAATACATATCTAGCCAAATCAAACACTGTGAAGGCTTTCACTTTTAACTAATAGTTGATTGAAGTTTAAACTCTTAAGCTTTTTGTTGTTTCTTTAGTTATGAAGTTATTAAGTGAAATTATATTTTTAGAAACCTCTATTTCCCAGGAATTAGTTTAAGTTATACCTTCTTTTAAAATCTAAAATTTTTATCCTTAGTAGTTTAGTAGCGGATAATTATGCCATTTAACAGCTAACAATTTAAATTATTTGGCTAAGTTTGAGGAAATGGAATTAATAATTCCAGTCCAAATTATCTGGTCAATAATCGATTAACTGAGATATAGCTATAATAATGAAGATTTTGAAAAAATGTGTAGAGTCAAATAGTAACTTAGAAAATTGGTTGTTTGGCTACAGAAATATACCATTGGTGAATATTGGTGTATCCTTTGTAAACTTATTACAAAATAAAATGTTAAGAACAAATTTATCTATTAAGGATAGGCAGACTAAAAACAGTAATTACAATGTAAAAGAATAAATGATTAGTAACCAGATGTTACAGAAAAAATATTTTGGTGATAAAGGTACTGTAAAAGAGTCTATATTTTATGAAAATGAAATAGTTTGGTTACAGAATAAATTTAATAAAACATGTGGCAACAATTGTTAAAAAACTTAAATGACCAAGAAATTACTTGGTGAAAGATTCAAAGGGGAGAAAAGTAAAAAGAAATGTGATATTTTTATGGAAAAGAAAAACATTAAGTTTGGAGTTTGAGGAGAGAGAAGTTGAAGAAATAATTGAAGACAAAAAAAGAGTAAATTATGAGAAAATGAGAAGATCAGAAAGAAAAATAAAAAAACCGGATAGGTTAATTTGTAGTAAGTAAACAAGTTAGTCATAAGTAGTAGTAGTTGTTTTGTTTTGTTAATAACTTTAAGAATTAGTTAAGTTATTCATTATATATTGGTTATATTCATTTGTAATTGTTCTAATTAAAAAAAAAAAAAAATACTATAAAATAATTTACATATAATTTTGAATTTTTACTGTTTAAAATAATAATTATTAATTTGTATAATTATATTACTAAGAGGGGGTGTTATAGTAACACTGATAGCATAGATTAGGTTAAGGAGTTATTATTGTACAATATTTGTCACAACAAATGACATGCAGTTGTGTAGTGTGTTCTAGCTCTCCTCATGATTTGTATATTATTAAGATCTACTTGAATAGTTATTTAAAATAAAAATATTACTAACAGTTTACACCTGAGGGTTAACTAATTTATAATACTCAATTTCCACACTGTTACAACTGTATTATTTACAAAACAAATAGAAAAGCTAAATGAAACAAAAATTGATACAATAATTAACAATATTGAATGACTTTTAAATATTCATAAGGTAATTTATTTAATCAGGGAATAAACCTAGTTTTTAAAAAAACCCATTAAAAATTTCAAATTTTTTAAAAGCATTATCTAAACATTACAGAAAAATAAACTAGGTTTGGGATTTTGAAGACTGTGGTTTCATTTTCAAACATGGTTATAAATCAGTTTTTTTTAAAAAAAATGGTTGATTCCTAGTACTTGATCAAAAAAAACATTAGTTATTTTACAAATTATCAATTAACATTATACCTAAAATTATTATTAATTTAAATTGTTACAGATTTCTGCACCATGAAGAATGTGTTTTTAATTTAATTTAAACTTAATTTTAAAAATAGTAGTGAAATATTTCATTTTTTTGTTATTTTAAGTTCACCAAACAGTTCTGATAAATACACTTCAGTAGTTGCTGAAAAGGGTATCTTAATAACTCTAATCTCAACATTTACCATTTTTGAATTCAACAAGTCTTGTAGGGATGGTACTGAAAGTATGTCAATAATATTTTCAGGAATTTCTTGGTTTTCACGTTGTGGTTTTGGTTCTGACCTTAAAATTGGGATATTGTTTCTAGGTTCACTTTTTTCTGAAATATTTATACTGCAGCCAAAACCAACTAGATTTTGTTGATACTGAGTAATGAATAAATCAGTTACTTGAAGTAACTCTTTTGTGAATCCCCAAACTAGATGTCTTAATGTTTTGGAGAGTTTTTCAATACACTGAAGAAGGTGAAAATTGATTGTTGCAGACTAAAAGAATACATCATTTTAGTAGGATTCTATAAGCATGTTAAAAATTACAATAGTATAATACTTACTTGGCATACATAGGCAGGAATTATTAGTAAAGCTGTTATACTATTGCATTTTGCCAATTTTTGTGCCACACAATCACTGAATTCAATGTTAATTAATTCCAATTTCTTTAATTTTTTCATTGATAAAATGGCATCAAAATATTCTTCTGCGAATTCCTTCCATTTACCACAACAATTCTCTAATCTTAAGTATCTTAAATTTGTTAATTTTTTTAAAACCATAGAGAAATCATTAGGTAAGTATTCACAGTCTCCTATTTCTAAAGTTTCCAGGTCCATTGACATTTTTCCTAGATCTGTACAGATATCTCCAGAAAATGATTTAACAGATTTTAATGACTAAAAAAAAAAAAAAAAAAATACAGTTAAATCAAAAACATAAAAATAAGAAAAACCATAATAAATATTATAACTATACACTGAAATAAATAAATGATACACAGGTATAATTAGTTATATAGTAATATTTTACACTTATATATTTTTAAAGGGCAATTAATTAATTAATTTAATTGAAAACAATTAGTGGTTCATAAAAGTAAAAACATTATAAACTTCTTGATCTAAAACTAGAATTATAATTTAAGTATAACTATGATAACTTACCAAAGATTTTAGTTTGGTCAAATGTGATGATATTAGTTCTGGCGGTGATAACAGTTTAATTCCAGCTGGACATTTTATTTCTAATTTTTTGAGACTTAACATTTTGCTCAAACATTTTATATTAATGGGCACAAGTTCATTTACAATTTTTACATCTTCTGGTACATATGGATTTCTGAGAAATAATAAAATTAAATCATTAGCTATATATTTTGTTTTGTAAAGTATAAAAGATTATATTCTTTTAGCCCTTAAATTTGTAAAGCCAATTTAAAAAACTAACAAGTCAAAAACTGTTTAAGCAATAAAAATATTAAATCAAATGTATATGCTACCCTTGTTGTTTAACATTTGTAGAATTTTCCATTTTATCAAGTTTTTTTTGTTTTTGTGGAGAATCTGTTGAGAACCATTGAGGAGCTTGCCTTTTTTCAGCCATATATTCTGGTGTGGATGCAGTTGTATTTAAAGAATCTAAGTTATCTAAAATAAAACAAAATAAATTTGATTATTTCAATTTTTAATAAAAATTTGTGAATTTCTATAGTTGTGCAAATAATTAATACAATGCATTAGTGCTGTATGCAAATAAAATTATACAAAGCAGTTCAAGAAATCCAAGTGAATTCATCAGAAAAGCAAACAATTTATACACAATGTAAATCACAGGGTTGCCACAATTTTTAAGTTTGCAAATTCCCTGATTTTTTTATGTTTTTTGAGACATAATTTTTTTAAATTTTCTACACCTTTTAAAATTTAATCTCAATGTTAGTTAAAATTTAAAAAATATTGTTGTTACAATATACAATACAATAGAAATACTACCACATAATTAATACCTACTGCTTTTTTTTTTTTAAACACAATTATAAGATTATAACAACAGTAACAAAAAACAAAAGGCTTTAAGAGGAAAAATCCTCCAACGTTTCTCGTTGTATGAAAAACACGAAATATGAAATATATATTTAAAAAGTGAGTTTAAAAAAAAACAACATTCATTTTTGAATAGTTAATCCAAGTTTAATTTCATTAAATAATTCACACGGATAAAAAAATGACAATGCTAGACAACCCGATACCAATCATTATAGAAGATGGAGATATCAACGACAAATTAATAATATAAAATAAACAATATCAAATACTTACCGAAAAAACAATAAATGCTGGGTGTATACTCAGAGGATGCGTAAGATGAAAATGGCAGCACAAGGATTACAAAAAGACCGACACAACTAAACGAAAACAAAATGGAGAAACACAACGTCGTTGGATTTTTCATAATATGTAATATGGCAGTGCGTTATCTAAAGAAAAAAAAATAAACAGTGCGGACAACGTGACTACAAGTCAAGTACTCACGCCATAGCTGATTATAAGAGAGTGAAAGGAACTATAGGTGGTGCTCTAGTCGACACTAATGATAAAACTATCAAACAGATGGCGTTATTATAGAATTAGAATATAATAATTGTAATTTAGCCAAAATGGTCGATTTATTAGTAACTTTGAATGGTTTGATATTCAATTTTCTTATTAAAACTTATTTTGTTTACAATTTGTAATAATTAAAGTACATAATTTTTAATTCTGTAAAGAAATAACCAATATAATTCAATGTATTGGTGATTTTAAAAGACTTTTTAATCGAAGGCTATGAAATAGTTAAAAGAAACTATATTATTGAAATGGATTTAGGATAAAAAAGGACGTCCTAAGATATTAAAGATGGGCACAACCACTGTTATATGTAATTTAATGTATGAACCGTAACTAACAAAAAAAAGATTCTGAGCAGGGTTCAGATGATAGTGATGCTTTGTCAACAATATATATGTCATATTATAATGAAATAATTAAATAAACTTTTCTTTAAAAATATTTGTTTAATGTTGTACCGATTTTCTTGCTTTTCCTAAGTTTTTTCTGGTTTTTCACATTTGCTTGGAAAACTCTTTTGGGATAATCGAAAAATGACATCCATAAAGTGCTTTCCCAGTTAAATTTTTTTTTAGAAAAAGTGCCATCATTGTAAAGTAGAGAAAAATGTTTGGAAGAAACGTTGTTCACAAGAAATAAGAAGGCCATCATATTTTTTAACTAGTACATTCATTATATTTTCCCATTTTTAATTTGGTTTTTCACATTTGTTGAAAAAACTCAAGGGAAAGTCGAAAAATAATCTCTTTAAAGTACCTTCCCAGCAAAATTTCCTTTTAGAAAAAATGCTATCATTGTAAATTGAAGCAAAATTTCCGGTAGGAATATTGTGTACAGAAAAAAAAAAGTAATATTTTAGTTATATATTTCATACATTTACCCATTTTGTTTTTTCGGTTTTTCACATTTGATTAGAAAACTTTTGAGAAAATCGAAAAATGACCTCCCTTAAGTACTTCTCTACACTGATTTCTTATTAGAAAAGTTGCTGCATTTAAAAATCTGAGCACCTTACAAAGTATATTTTAAACATTATATTGTATATTAGGTAAATATTATGAAGATCAATACAAGTTTGTATTTAATTTATGCATTTTTGTTATTCATTTAGCTAGGATAATAATTATGGTCATCCATAATATCAATAAATAAAGCTATACTTATAATTATACAAAGAAACTCAGAAGGTTTACAATATACTTTAGTAACACGGATAAAATTTAAAAAAAACAGGCCCTTGGTCTTCCTAAAGGACTTTTGTCCATCCCCCCTCCAAATATGATGGAACCATTATTCTATTTGTTTGATTTTTATAGATGATATAATATATGTTATGTAACTCCTGTAGTTGTTGTTTTTTTCTTTTGTCATAAGTTTTTAATTCTGGTGAATTTTGGACTGTATATATTTTTCAGTGGGTACCTTTCTTTTAAAGGTTTATATTTAATTAGCTGTTTGCTGTCTCCTTTGGTCAGTGACCATGTTTTGCTCTTGTATGTGATTATTGGTCATAAATAGCTATGATACAGTAGTGTCTTTTAGTTATTTTATGTCAATATTTTTTCCCTAAAACCTCAACAAATCGAAAATTACATTTTTCTTAAATTTTTACTAATGGAGAAGATATCTCTGTATCCATACAACAAAATAAAATAATTTCAAATTCATTATTAATATTGCTTTATTAAACACCATTATTTTTTTTTATTCAAAATGTACAGTATAACGTTTAAAAACAGTAACAGACTATAGAAGTCTATCTATTAAATAATACAAACAATCAAAAACTACAATTTATAATTTAAATTATTATTTTAAGATTATATTTTTTAATTGTACAAACAATTGAATAAAATCAAGCTATATTACCTTCTTTGACTCATCACTTTATATAGTTACTCTATTTTATTATAGTTTACATTGGAACTATTTTCTAAATATTAAATTAAATTTGAATATTAAAATCTTATTTTCTTTTAGTCACCATATTAGATTTGAAATAGTATCCTGATATTATAACTATTACATTTACTAATAAAATAATTTAATTATATTAATATGAAAAGTATATTTGATTTCCAATCAAAAAGTTTAATTAATTAAATAAAACAATTTTCATAATTGGAATAGTATTAATGTATAACAATTTTATTTTTAGTTAAAATATCAACTTATATAAAAATAAAATTAATATACTATATAATATAAAATAATATAAAATAAAATTAAAAGGTGCTGATTTTTATCAGCACCTTTTAAATGTTGGTTATTTATTAAATCACTATTTTGTTCTCATTAAACTGTGACATTTCAATTTTAATAATTAGGTATACTAATAATTTAACATTTTAAACATAATTTATTTTGATTTATTATTATTAACATTTTAATTTTTATAATCTTAAGGAAAATAGTTATAAAAAGTATAATATTTAATTTGCCTTGAAAATGTAATATGTTAAATGAAAAAATAATAAGTAAAAAATAACATATTAATTTAGACTTGATTAAATATAAAAAAACCTCGATTTCAATTAAAAGCCAAAAAAATAAAAAGGTTTATTAGATACTTGGAATAATAATATTGAAAAAAAAAATATCAATTTAAATAAAAAACTGCAAATTGTGATCTATTAAATTTTAGAGGATATATAAATTATTTTAATCTTTTCAACAATATTTATTAGTTTAAAATAATAAAATAAATTATTTATAAAATAACTTTCTGATAAAAATTTATTTATATTTAATTTAAAAAAAATTAATGTGTTTCAAATAAAATAACTTACATAATTATAAATTGAAAGCTTAAAAAAATAATTGATATTGTAATTCACAATCATACAAATTATTTAAAATAATAATAATATAAAATGTTATTTTAAATTTTAATAAAATCCTTTTTTAAATTCAACATAATTATTAAATTAGAAATTTCTTTTATAATTTGTATTCCTTATATAAGAGGATTTAATTTTATAATTTCAAAAATTACATTTAATGAACTGAGTATAAACAAAAATTTAAAAATATTCATAATATCTATTATAAAAATAATATTAATTTGTATTATTATTTATTATACAAATGATTTATTAATTAAAGAAAAATTTAATGATACAGGGAAATATTAATTTTATTATCAACCACCCCACCCCCAGAAATTGATCTTGAATACATGCTTGAGGATTTTTAATTAATAATGCAATATTAACAACATTTTTTTAAATTCACACTTATTTTACCATTTATTATTATTATAATATATATTTTTATACATTTTATTTTTTTTACAATTAACAGGATCAAAAAACAGTTTATAAATTATTTTTAATTTTAGTAAAATTTCATTTTCACATCATTTTATTGTTAAAGAATTTAATTAGATTAGTTATATTTATATCTTTTTTTTATTTAAACATTATTATTCGCATACATATTAAATGATCATAACAATTTTACTATAGCAAATCTGATAATCATTCTTAATTAAATGTAATTAAAAATAATATTGGCAAAGAATATTTTTTATTTATACAATTTTATAATTAAATCCTAATGAGTTAGGAGTTATTGCTTTAGTTTTATCAATTATTTATTAATAAACAATTTTTAAGAATTGATTCTTAATTGATTTAATAATAATTATTATATTTTATTTCATTTAAAATATACATAATTCTACTTTTCAAAAAAATAAATAAACTGGACATCTAACATGACTAATGTGTGTTCTTTTCTTAATTACTTGATGTATACTATACACTTTAAAAAGTGATATTGTATACCTATGAATTTGGATTTCAATTATTTTAATATATTTTTAAACAACTATTGTAAGTATTAGATAATTTATTTATTCATGAACAGATTACAAAGGAAAAAAAAATGCATATTTATTTAAATTTTAGTTAATAAAAGACATTATATCAACATCTGTAAAATAAAGGAAAAGTAATTGTTCAGTAACTCCGACCAAATAAGGTGAAGAATCCAGCTCTCTGGTTACACTCTGGGTGTATGCACTTATCATCTGGTTTAAGTTTTTCATTTCCATCAGGCTGTTCAAATGGCACACATAAAGACTTAGCTCCCATGGTGGAAGCTCCAATTTCAGCTGTACCATCATCCCTATAAAATCATAATGTTAAATTTTGAATGATCATATTTGTTTTTTTTTTTTAATATAGAATATCTAGTTTATTCATACTTTGCAGTATCCCGTTTAATATTATCCTCACAAGAAGGTCGTCCACAAAATGGTACTAGTAATAAACGTTTTTTTGCCAGATTAATAGCACAATCTGACCATTTATGACATATTATGACATTGTTTTTCATTTCTTGTTCTGCCTTAGCTAACATATCTTGTTGTATTTGCTCCAGTAATTTGTGGATTTTATCTACTAACAAGTCTTGTACATTTTGATTGTTTTTGTCATGCATGTCTAACGGAATAGATAGTTTTTCACCAGTATCTCTCCTCACAGCTGTAATTTGTCCACGATCTAAATCTTTAGGTCCAATTTCCAATCTTAATGGAACACCCTGAAAAATTAATTTAATTAAGCAGATACAATGATTTAAATTTTTCTATTTTTAACTATATATTATATTTACATCAATTATATCACAATTAAAATTAAAAGAATACCTTTAGTTCCCAATGGTTGAACTTCCAACCTGGTGAGTAATTATCTCGCAAGTCTGCATGTGCTCTAATGTTTATAGAACCCTTACATAAAAGATTAGAATTTTTTATTTCATTTTCTTTTGATGAATTATCTCCTTTTAACCGATTATAAACTTCTAGACAAGTTCTTGTCAAACTTTGTTTAATATCTTCTGATGTGCTAACACCTACACCACACAGAATTATAACTACCTGCAATTTTACACAAGTATAGTTTAATAGTAATAAGTTACAAATCGTAATAGTTGTATCAATAATGAATGTAAATTAAGAGTTAAATTTAAAAATAAATTCTTTGCCAAATAATAAAAAGACATCCTAGGAATGGAAAATAGAAGATAATATGTGCAGCCACTGTTATAGGTACCTTTAAAGTATATCTGTAAACAAGATAAACCATTGCTAAAGAAAAACTAATTCTGGGAGGAATTCAGTTGATAGTGATGCTTTGTCAACAATAAATATGTCATATTATGATAAAATAATTAAATAGGCTCTATATATTTTCATTAGTAATATTTATTTAATATTGTACCAAGTTTTCCATGTTTTTCCCCACTTTATCATAGTGAAAATAAAGGGAAAACATATAACATAGGGAAAACTTGGGAAAATTAAAAATAGACTTCCCTAAAGTACCTTCTCAGTCTGATTTCCAGTCAGAAAAAGTACTAACATTTTAAAATTGGAGCGAAATTGCTGGTAAAAATGTTGTACACAGAAAAAAAGGCCATAATATATTTTTACTAATACCTACATTTTATACATTTTTTGTTTTTCTAATATTTTATGCCAGTTCTTCCCAGATATTATAAAAACCATTTGGAAAATCAAAAAATGATCCCTCAAAAGTACCATTGAGACAATATTTTCTTTTAGAATTTTCTTACACAGAAAAAAAAATCTTAGTAAAACCAATACATTCTTCACCAAAAGCAAAAACAAAGTTTAATTCCACAAAGTTTAATAGTAATAAGTTAAAGTTAGTTTGAGTCAACTCATATGTTTTACCTGAATTGTGGCTACATTTGGTGGTAAAACTAGCCCACGGTCATCACCATGAACCATGACCATTACACCTATAGTTCTTGTTGTCATCCCATAAGATATTTGATGGGCGAACAATTGCTCATGGGTAACTGGATGTTCATATTCCACATTAAACATACGGGCGAAATTGGTACCCAAATAATGTGAAGTAGCGCCTTGTATAGCACGGCCACTAGCCGCTATATATGCTTCACATGTAGCAGTAAAATCTCCACCAGCAAACTTTTCTTTTTCAGTTTTTCTACCTTTGATCACTGGTACTGCCAGCATATTTCTATAGACATGTTCATAGTAATCTGAAAATCATACAAACATAACTAATTATGAAATCATTCAATATAAATGTTATTTAGTTATATTGAAGTAGCCTACCTAATACTATTAATACATCACGCTCAGCTTCTTCCTGTGTTGCATAAGCATGATGTCCTTCTTGCCATAAAAACTCTCTGGTTCTTAAAAATGGTTGGGGATGTTTAAATTCCCATCGCTAATAATATTTCAAATATTTGTTTAAATAATTTATAAGAAATATAATAAAAATTGATTAATATCAATATTAATATATTATATTATGACAATCAAATCCACAAACCACAACATTGTTCCATTGATTGAGTTTTAAAGGAAAATCTCTGTAAGATTGAATCCATTTAGCAAAAGCTGGATACATAACTGTCTCACTAGTTGGCCTTATTGCAATTGGTTCAGCCAAGTCAGTTTCACCAGATTTGGTTACCCAAGCTACCTATTTAAAGAAATATTTTAATCTTTTTTTTGTATTTGTATTTTTTATATGTTTTACCTCAGGTGCAAAATCAGCTATATGCTCTTTTTCTTTTTCCAATGCACCTCTAGAGACAAATATTGGAAAATAACAATTTTCCACATTAAGCGGATCACTTTTAATACGTGCATCAAACCATTCTTGTATTAATGACCATATTTTATAGGCCCAAGGTCTGAGTATATAACAACCACTCACATCATAATATTCAATCATTTCACTTTTTACTAAAACTTGAGAATACCAATCGCCAAGATTTTCAGCAACCTTTGGTACTTCTAATCCTAACTTTGTGATTTTTTTGGTTTGAGAACTATCTGTAGTTTTCGAAGTGTTAATAGGTACATTTTCTTTTTTCTTAGGTTTTTTCATCTAAAAATAATAATTTTCCAATTAAATATAAATTTATTATAATTTTATAAAACAGCAAGTATGATCAATAAAAGTAATATTATTAAAACAAAGTAATTATTTATTATTTAATTTTATTAATAAACTTAACTTGAGAGTTATTGATCAACCACAATGATTGTTAACTAAATAAACTATTTTATAATAGTGTATACTATCTTACATCAGAGTATATGAATTTGAACAATTTAAATAAAATCTTAAAAACGAAAACTGTAAAATATGATACATAACATATAGAACAAAATGTAGGATTTAGATTTCTTACACGATAAACAGTGTTTATGTTTTTGACTCTGCTAATTTTTCAATTTTTTCAAAATGATATGGAAATAAAGAAGTCACCAACCCTACTCATTAAGATATAATATAATATATTAACATTAAAAAAATAAGTTCAAAAACAAAAGAAATTAAAAAAATATTATCTGTTACAGAAGTCCATTATACAATAATGGTGATCACCAAGAAAGGGTTTTTCAAAATATTCAATTTTATTTTCCATTAACTCACTAAAATGCATATGTATACAGTTTACTTAAGATTAATTGACTAAAAATGACTGGACCGATTTTTACAAATTATTTTGAAAAATAATCTGTGTTTTCAGGGACAGGTTTTTAGCTATTGAAATCTGTCTTGGATCTGACCAGTGGATAACAAGTTAGGAGTTCAAATGTTTTCTTTNCAATTATTTTATTTCTTTGTTTTTACCTGATGTTCAGGTAACCCAAATAGTAATTTTGCATTTTCAAAAAGTTTAGTTCATCTTTATATTTTTTATAGATGTGCTCCTTTTTAATGAATGGATTTTCTCTTATTCTATTTTGTCTTTCATATCTACTTGTGGATGGTAAGGCAAAGGAAGGGTCCATACACTTTATTTTGTAAATAGAAGGAAATGCATTGTATTTTAATAAGGTATTCACATTAGGATCACTACTTTTGTGTCACAATTGCTCACATAATACATCAGACCCATTGAAATCATTACTATTAAAATGGGATAAACAAGTTCTATTACTTTTTCCTAGCATAAGATGTTTAAGTTTACAAAAATTAACCTATACTATATATCTTTATGTAGACTATTTGTACATTAGAAACCTGTAAAAATGAAAGTTTTTGTTTTCTTCTTTGTTGCTATAATACAAACAACCAAAAACCGAACACAAAATTTTAAGTTTAACAATTATAAAAAATAAAATAAAAATGTAGATGATCTTAAGAAAATTAAATAACTTTCTGCTGTCAATATGGGTTACACTACTAATAATGAACAGAAAAATATTTGTATAAAAATTTTATTGGTACTGACAATAAAAGTATATTATTAAGTTATTATTATTATATAATCATAATAATAACTAGGCACTCAAAACATAGGAGTATGGTGGTTATATTTGTAGAATATTAATATACTACAGATAAATTTAACTTGCCAACCTTTAATATTTATTATTTCAATAGGATGTTAGTATTATTATAGGAAAGTATCTAAGCTTTTGGTAATATGAAAACAGGTCTTAATTTTAATTATTTTAATGTAATATATAAATAAATGACTATAGAGCAGGAAATGCCTGCATTGAACCTAACTAATGTATCTGTGACATCATGCTTTATTTTAAACCAATCAAAGTGGAATGACATATAATATTTTTAGCTGTACCACATTTTTAATTATACCAAATACTTATAATTAACTATTAATCTAGTTTTCCTTAAATAATCCTTTCATAATTAAAATTTTTAGACTTTATAAATTACTTTAGAAGAACCATTGGATTTCATGGTAGGCACATTATTCCCTTGTTCATTAATTTTGGTAATAATTTCATCAGCTGATTGAGAATTTGGTATTGAAGTTAACTGTTCACTTGACTTTGGTGTAGGTATACCACCTTGTGGAAATTCTACACCTGCAATTTGTTTGTATTCCCCTTTCAAAGCTAATAAAGTTTTGACAGCTTCTCCAATTTCGGCCTAAAGTAAACAAAAAAATATTATTATTTAATAAAGGATTGAAGATAGTTAAATGAAATTATCACAGTTATATGAATTTATTAAATATAAATATGGTTAATTATAAAAATTACTTTTGAAGCACCATTAGATTTCATGGTGCGTACAATATTCCCTTGTTCATTAATTTTGGTAATAATTGCATCAACTGATTGAGAATTTGGTTTTGAAGTTGACTGTTCACTTGACTTTGGTGTAGGTATACCACCTTGTGGAAATTCTACACCTGTAATTTGTTTGTATTCCCCTTTCAAAGCTAATAAAGTTTTGACA